AAAGTCAGGAATAAGGATGCCTCAGAAGCAAATGTCATGGAGGAGCAAAAAACGAAAATCGTTAGTGGTCACAAATGCTTAAGGGACGCTGACACCCCTGCTCATCTCTCCTCCCATCTGTCTCTGCCGCAGACCCTACATTGTGGAGCGGCTGAGGTCTATTTGCGCGTCAGGCCTTTGGCCTCCTGATACTAAGGTGCTCCCACGTTGTGTTCCTTCTCTGAACCTTTTGTATCTGAGAGGAAACTCCATTCCACAAAGGCTGAAATGTTCTCAGACACATTCTCTCACCCTAGCTTGCATGGAAACATTACTTCTCAGGAGACAAAGGGAAGCACCTTCTTAGATGGTTTTATGGCACAGACGTGCCTCAAAACACTACTTTTTGTTGGTGTACTTCATTCGCATTTTGAGAGCAAAGCCATTTTCCCCATCGAGCAGTTGGGTTATCCTCCTGACCCAACTCAGGCCAACAGTCTCTCAGGTGATATAATTCACACTTGTATAGTGTCAAAGACCTGAAAGCACATCTCAGATTTTTTAAAATGTGTGCGTGTGTGTGTGTGTGTGTGTCTGGTCAGTCCATCTCAAGAGCAATAATTAGGTAATAATGCTCCACTCTGCAGATAAGAAACCAACAGTTCAGGGTCGCACCCAAGGGCAAGTCTAAGGAAGAGTAAACATAAATGATCCAAATCCCAGCCCACTTGTCCTTCCTGGTTTCTGGTAGGGCTACCCTCTAGCCCACCTATTACCCTGAAGCAATGCCTTCAAGCCTCTAAGATGGGAAGAGTGGGGAGAACTCCAGAGACTATGACCATCCACTCTCACTTTGTTCTTCCAGGCCTGCGATCTCCAAACCACGACAGGCAAATTCAGCCTTGCTCAGTGATAAAGGAGTACTCAACATCATGGCCTTATCTGAGTTCCTGAGTGGAGGAAAATCTTTCATCAGATGGCAGTCCATTTTTTTAAGTAGTAGGATTCCAACTGGAAGGACTAATTCTGTGCCTCAGGGACAGCTGTGGCTCTCCTCACACAGCTCAGCAGAGGGTCCCTAAAGCTAACTTGTAAAACAGGCAGTACTTCCCATTGTTGCAACAATGGGAGGCAAAGCAAAACCACTGCCACTGAGAAACAACTTCATGTACAAATAAACAAGTAGAGGGCCAGAATAAATATTCATGAGATCTCATTGGTGTGGTAAAGTAATGAGGAATTAAAATTGTGGGGGATCATTTGTCACATCAATAGTCAAGATGAACCCCACTTGGAAAGGTTCAATTTACTGTAAATTTTCTGCTTTGCTGGGAGACTCCTGTAGATGCTTATTACACTAAAAGAATCACTGAAAGAAGAAATGGCCCCCTGAAAATATTTTGCATGTTCAAGAGTCTTTATTCTTTGACACTGTTCTTTCTCTAAAGCATCATCAAAAGGTCTCCTGAGAGCTGGAATTGTTGGGTTGGTCAGAATTCTTTCTACCAGTGAAGAATCACTGGTAGATTCAGAAAGATGGAAAAAATATGTAATCAATTAAATCCATTTAAAGGTATCTTCCCCACCTCTTTCAATTTCCCAATTTTAGACTCTTAAAACTATGGGTGAGGATAAGGCTACTGGTATATGCAAATATACATAAAATAAATTCAATTTCCCTGGAGTAATTAAAATGAATTTTATAATTTATTATTTCTAGGACATTTTGAGTAATCAACAACATGGAGACTCCTCCTCCTTATGCTGGTTTTCCTAAACTGCTCCAAATTATTTCAACAGAAAAGAGAAATGAGTCTTTTTGGAAGGGGTCCATGTACAAGGGGAGCATACACTTGCAAATGGGTGGGAGATGAACCAAATGGTGGTGTGTGTTCTCCCTCAGATGGAAAATGCATTCACCATTATTCTTATCAAGTTAAAAACTCATTTTTAAAAAATCTTTGTCCTCTCTCCAAATTGTCCTTAGAAAATGTATAAGCCAAACCATAGTTTCCGTAATTCTAACGTTCTTCCAGCCATTGCCCAACTGACCTGGGCATAAAGAATACAAATTCATTGGAGTAACCAAAATTACACAATAAAGAAGGGGGGGGGAATGTGCACTTTGAATGCCAAATACAAATCCTACTTGTTTTCTGCCTCATTCAAACATGTACTGTGAGTTAATGTGTTCCTATGCATGACAGGTACAACAAAGAAATGAGAGAATGGTCCAAATTTTGATTCTAAATCCTATCCAAGACCCACTTTCTTGAGGATTGTAAGCAATCTGAGCATAGGGTGTTGGTGGTGGTAGCTCTCTGGTGCACCTGGTTTCCCCTGGACCCCAGCTGTGAGAGGGCTGTCTCAGATAATAAGTTAGTCCTAGGATAGCAGACCCCTCCAGAAGCAAGAAGCATTGGCCCCAATGTAAATATGCTGGGTCCCAAGAGACGGCAACCCCTTCAGATCAGCTTCTAACTATTATCCAGACATATTTGAATCTGGCCTCTGAACCAAAAGCCATCCATCTATCATGGGTCACACCACACACTTTCTTGGATCCACATAGCCTGCTCCCCCAAAAAAAATCCTATAAGTGTGTGACATCAACATGTTTTCCTCAGCTAACAAGCTTCTCTATTCACTAGCAGCCAAAAATTTTAAGTGGCTCCTAAACAAAGACAGCCCAACGAAGAATAATGATGTCAAACCCAAGCCTTAGTTCCGTGGTGTGAACACAAAATCTACAGGACCCAAGTTAAAAATGATTTACAGAGTTTGATCAGAGTCAGATGTAACACGGTGTCTTACTGGAGACAAGCCAGTGGCTATCAATCCAAATCCCCTACAACAAGTGATGTCATTAGTCAGAATCAATACATTATGGAGACAATTTTCTCTTTTGTCTCTTGGCCCAGGAAATTTTCTGAGTTGAGTTTCATCACTAGATTGCAAGGCACTCATATTACAAAGTGGCTGACAGGAATTACAACCAGGACTCCCTCACGTGGCTCTTTTGAAGGAGCAGGGGAAAAGTTTAAGGAATAAATCCAATTAGACATGGGAGACTCAGAATAACAAGTCCAAGGTCTTTGTTGGCAAGTCTACTTTGAACTTGTTTAGCCCGTTCCTGTTGTTTATGTCCCTTTTAAGGTCATGATTTGGACTCTCAGGTGTCAGAACAACATGAAGGCAGATGCTAAGTTCTAGGTCTCCCCTGGAGGGAACCACCTGACCACCTTGGCTTAGCCAAGACTTAGGGAAGATGACTTGGTGCTGAAGGCCAAGGCTTCTAGCCTTTGGCCTCTCTGCCCTCAGTTTTCTTCTCCCTGACACCAGATAGCCCCCATTTACCTGTAAGATCTTCATGTCCCCACTCTCTTCTTAAACCCTAAAGAATGGCCAGGGTACGGCATTTCACAGGAGGGCAGTCCCGTAAGATCCTTCCCAAGCATCCACATGTGGACAGTACTTTTTCCATCATTAATGTTATCAAGGATATTTTGCATCATAGCCTCAGTACTGTCTTTTAGGATCTTCCAAAGTTCTCTTAAGGTGTATGATAGAGAATAGGAATGAAAACATAGGAAAATTAAAGAAAATGAGACTCTCATTTTCTTATTGCCTTCAAGCTCTTCCTAAAGAAAAATTCTCTAGTCAGTCCCATGTGCGTCTCCAACACAGGATATTTTTCCAGCTCACTGGTATTTCATAAACACCATTTGTTGTCATGTGGTTAAATTAAAACTGAGGATATCAAACATCAAACAGTATGTTAATGTCAAGTATGCTTGAATAAATAGTAAGAGTTCAACTGAATGGAATATGTGGATTGCTAGCTAATTAAGCAAGAAGCAGGTGTGAAAAAAATCTAATTTAGGCAATTTTTTATAATTAATAATGTTTACTTGTAGTACCCTTCTAATGGGGCTCTAGTTTAGCCTCTTGTGAATTGCTAGGAGTTTACTCCAGTATTTTAAAATTATAATTGAATGGAGAATTTTATGAGATATCAGGTTTCCTTGCTGATGATGAAGCACTATGTACATAGATGGTTCCTGACAGTACTTTGTATCAATAGGATCAATTAGCAAATCACCCACAGCAATTAAAACTTAAAACACACACAGGCATACATCCACACCTAAGAGTTCTCTTGTAAACTCCAGCACCAACTGGAGGTAGAAGCGAGCCTGGATGAACCAACTTGAATGAGAATACCATATTGTTGGACACGGATAATGAGGGCTTTGGTAAGTGTCTGCAAAGAGCAGTGACAAAGAACATTTTGTTACAATTAGGAACAAAAAATTAAGATCATATCTAAACTGTCCTGGCAAATTGCATACCACCAATCAATTAATCCATGTATACGTTTAGGGTTGGTTTTCTTTCCAAGAAGCCAAATGGAAGTAGAGCAGGAAAAAATGTCCACAGATGTGAAAACAGACCTGGACTATTTCATGGACGTGACATATCTACTGTATTTAATTAAAAGAAGAATGTATGAGAACAATGTATCCTTCTCAATCTGGGTCGAGGGAACAAAACAGCACTGGATTAGATAGGACAACTGTAATCTCTAGAGACAGTCCCATGTTTAATGGGAGCGCCACATGTTTGATATGTAGGGAAGTAAGTGGGTGTCCTGGACACAATCCACTATTCATCATAATACCACAGCCCTGTTCATTCCCAGAGAGGAGACTTAAAACCATGAAACCATATGTAGAATATTAAAAATCATTTAAGGTTAAAATGCACATTATGAAAGCATTCACTTTGGGCAAGGCTGCAGTCCAAGAGAGCTCTGAGAAATCTCCAGTCCAGTAGATAATGGTTGTAAAGGTAAACTAAGTTGTCCACACGCACACGCACACACACACACACACACACACACACACAGGGACTCTCAGAGAAACCTGGTCCTCATCTCTGCAATGCTGCCTTCTATCACTCTGTTTTCCTTACTGATTTCTGTAGCGAGGTCAGTATCAATAATTGATACCTAGAGCATAAGTCCATTAATTTATAATTAAAGATGAGAAACACCAGTTCCTCTCCCACCACCCATCATTTGGTATTAAATCATATATATATATATATGACAGATATTAAATTGTTTCTCAAACAGAGTCAATAACCTTAGTATATTTTCATAGTCTTTTCATTGCCACTGAATTAATCACAGCCCTGCCCCTAACCACATGGAATTTTATTTCCCATAAGAGCGATGTTTACTTTGGTTTACTTTGTTGGAACTCAGAGTACTTACTTAGTCTATAAAGATTTAGTGTAACATATTCTGTTAAGCAACATTAAAAGCGCTCACTGACAGTTCTTGTCTTATATTGCTTTGCTTATATGCAGATTCTTTGTGCTTTTGATCTCATCTAGCTCACCAACAAGGGCAATGCCGAGACTAGCTCCAGTGTGCAAGGAAATACTAACTCCTTTGGAGATTGAAAGTTCTATTTATTTTCCTCAGTTGCCAAAAATAATATACGAAGTGAAAAGTGAATGCCACGAACCTGAGCATGTACCCAGGGAGAAATCCTATTTATCTGCTTTTAGCAGATGACAGACATTAGAGATGGTACCAACTCAAACTGACTGTCAGTAGTTCGATTTTTATCATTCCAACTGAAAACACAAGGACAGACAACTGCGATAAGGGCTGCCAGAGAACATGACTGTCCCCTGATGAAGGGGACCCACCTCCTTCCCCATCCCACTCACAAACTCATTGCAGGGCCCTGAAGTCGCCTCTTCTGACAGTTGTCTCAGTCCCCCAGGGTGGGGGATGGGAGGACATTTACTAGAATGGCAACCCTCAGATCCAACGAAGCAGAGAGAAGCCCAGAGGCCTGGACCTGACCAGGGGCAGCAGGCCTGATTCCTCTGACAGGGCATTAGCAAAGCGTTTCCTGCCCTTGGTTATACTGACTGCAGTTGACCAGTGCCCTCTGTGAACACAGCACGACTCCTTCAAGAATGACCAAACGTGGAGGAAGAGTGTCACCTCCCTGACTGATCATATGAGGAGTAGGCTGAAACAGTGCAAGATGGGAGAAGCCAAAGGGAAATATGGATGGGGAACTTCTGGCCACTCAGACATGGGCACCTATTCCACGCCACTCCAGGTCGGGCTGGCTGGCTCCTCATTAAAGGGAAAGAGGGCTTTTACTCAAGGCCTGAGGCCTAAGGGAAAGCAACACGTTTCCAATCGGGGAGGGAGCTACATCGGTTCTGGAGATTTTGATTAGTAGCCTGGCAATATAAGAACAGGTGTATTTGATGTAAGTCTCAAACCTGCCCCCGGCCCCAAGCAGGGGGAGAAAGGAAGGTGCAGCAATGTGGTGTAGGGCACCGCTCTCCCTCCACACTCTTCCCACCCCAGCCCAAGCCTGTTCCTAGGAGACTCTGGGACCCAAAGCAAAACACTTCCTGGACTCTGCCCTTACCTGCATGACTACCAAACAAGAGCAAAACATCAGCCTAAGAGAAAGAAAAGGAACAGTTGATGCAAGAAGGTAACTGCAGTCTGAGAGCTTAGCTGTAAACTACAGGGGGGCTGAATTCCATTATATAAAGTACGAGGTGGAGGTTTCTGAACTGTCTTTATGAACAAACCTGAGTTCTTTCTCCCCATCCCGATGGGAAGTTGCCTTGGCCCAACTCCTCCCTGAATTCTTGAGAAAAGACTGACCCTATTCTGCTCCCTCCTGTTGCTTCAACCTTCTTGCCATTTGGGTGATGAGAGAGTCATTAAAGCAAGGCTACTCACAGACCTTCCTCTGCAAACCCAGACAATCAGCATGCTGCAGTGTACAAGGAGACAAGGGGGAACCCTCCAGACCAAGACGGTGAAGCTACAATGAGCTTGGCGCGGATCTTTTCCTGTGGGCTGTCAGTAGATGGCCTACCCAGACACTATCCCTGAATATACATAATATCTTGAGTCAATATCAACAACGGGTGGGAGGCGTAATAATGAATAAGCTGCAAGAGCTACAGTTACAATAGATGGGGAGAAGGCTAACCAATAAATTTATCTTCAGTGATGATACAAGAAAATGCAGATGAGTGTATATTTTGGGGAAATCAAACCTCCAGTTAATGGTGCACACAGCATGTTGCTGAGTGGGAGCTGACATTGGGTGGAGGCTGGAAAGGAAAAGATGATATATGTTTATTAAATCATTGCTAAGGGCAGAGGCTAGAGGCAAGAGCTCAGGAATCTGTTGTTAAGTCTTGAAAGTAAAAACAGAAAAATAGAGCTCTTTCTTGAGCAGAGAATTGGGACGAACGTGTATGTGTGTTGGGGGTGGGTGGACACATTTGATGGCTAGGATCCTTACCCACTATCCACGAGAGGCAGCGGAGAGTAATTAATTGTTCAGACTGCAGCTCTGGAGGCAGACTGCCTGGGTTCGAGTACTGTTTCCCCGTTTACTAAGTGGGGCAAATTTCTTAATCCGTGTAAGTCTTAATACACTCCTATGTAAAATAGGAGTAATGGCTAATAGCATTAATGTAATTAATGCTATTAATGGCTAATAGCAGAACCTGCCACATAGGAGTGTTGTTGTGAAAAGTAAATGAGGTAGCCAGTTAAAACACATCACAGTGCCTGGCACACAGAGTATGTACTCATAGTACGTACACACATACAGTATATACTTAGAGTAAGCAGCTTAACTGAAAGAAACAGGACAAAAGCTTTTTTAAAAAAATACGTGGGCTGCAGGTGGTACTTTTTCTGTACACTGGTGGTCTATTTAGTGAAAGACGGGGCACTTGAAAGCTACTTAAGAATTTCAGCAAATCACACGATCAGAAAGTGCTCTTCAAAAGAAGATTAGGGTCATCGGTCTCTGGATTCTCCCTGTATCAGCGATTCCTTCTCCAAAGACATCCCAAAGTCAAACCTTGGAGAATAAGGAACTGTCTAAGAAGATTTAGGTTCAAGTCTGGTTAACAACAAAATCTATCACTGAAGGTTGGCAAATTCCTCTCTGTCCCATACATGAATTGCCTCCCTGGCGTCTAGAACAGGGTCCATTTCTGGTGGGCAGCCTCGGAATCAGGGTAAAAGAATTCATCAAGCAGCATGAGCTAGAAAGGGAGCTCTGAAATCAATCACCTGTTTCAGAAAACGGAAGACAATGGAGACTCCTGTCTCTGGTGGTCTCCCCGTGCTTCCGAGGGCAGGGCAATGGGCCAGCCGACCCCTCCGAGTTCCAGCAGGCCTGGGGCGCCCTCATGACTGGCAGGGAAGGCAGTATCAAAATGTGTGGAGCACCCATCCTGGGAAGACACTTTCTAAACTGAGACTGTAAAAGGGCAAAGGAAATTTTAAGAGAGAACCTGTCTGCTTAACCAGAGCGTACCTCAGGACAGAGTAAATTTATGTTGCTGTTGTAGGATTTGGAAATTCTTTATCACCCATGAGTCTCTCTTGTGGCAGGACAGTTAAAACCTCAGACTTGACACTCAGATGGATCCGGGTTGCTGAGCAACCATGGGCAAGGAATTTCATCTCTCCTGGCACCAGTTTCCTCATCTATAAAATGTGGATGACGACATTATCTATTTTTTACAGTTGCAGTAAAAATTCAATGGGGTGATGTGTAAAACAGGCTTAGTACAGTGCCTAATACATAGCGAATGCTCAGTGAATGTTGGCCATTATTATTTATTATCCTCACAACAGACCTTTGAAACGGATTTTATCATCTTCCTATTACCAAGAAGGAAGCGGCCACACAGAGGTAAGTGACGTGGTTAAGATAATGCCATCCCATCTGCATCATCCCTTCTCCTGGTTCCATTCTTTCTGGCCTGCTTTCAAATGAGAAGAGCCCATCGGATACATGGGCAGGGCAGGCCAAAGGCTGTGGTTTCCAGGTAAACTAGGAAGCTGTCTCCCATCTGGGCTGCTGACTTTCCCATCCTAGGCTGGTAGCACAGCGTAAGTGACATGCTGTGCCCTCTCCTCTGTCCTCCTCAACAGGAGCCTTCATCTGCTCCGCCTTCTGGGAGTGTGTGTCGCGCTTGGAGCCTGGCGCTGAAGCAGGTGCGGGCATATTTTAAGCGCCAGCAAATAACTTTAATTGAGCTCTCCTTAGACATATGAACCCACAGAGCGATTTTTTTTCTCTCTTCTAATAAAAAAAGACCCACAACAAACCAGATGGGTCTTGGTCCCTCCCCAATACTCCCTCCCCACTCTTCAGGCTCCCCTAATAAATCTTTTAACTCTAAAGAAATTACCTTGCTTGAAGTGGGTATTTATTTGGTTGCATGTGTGGACCCAAGCTGCCTCTGGATGGAAATGTGGGTCAGAAGGATACAGGCTGCAGAAATGAGGCCTGCTGGCTCTGGCCAGGTTGGTCCTTGTATTACTCATCCAGAACTTTCTATCACCAATTGCTTCCCTGTGCCTGCTCCCCTCACTCCTGGCTCGCTGACCACCACTGTTGCTTCCCCCATCTCTCCTCAGATTTGAAACCTTCGCCTTTCATCATCCTCACCTTGGTGTAACACTGCTGGATATGGTGGAAGGATCTAGACGGAATTCCCTCTACCAGAAGCCAGCTTAACTCCTTGGCAATGTGTCTAGAAAGAGTGATGAAAAAGGCAGCCCCATACCTCCTGTCACCAGAACAAGGCAGCGTGGGGCATAGAGCTCTGTCTCATTTTGCAGATGTGTGTTCCCTTTTAATGTCCCATGCAAAGATGGCAGCAGGACGAAGAGGGAAATACAATGTGAATGGATTCCAGACCCCCTAGAAAAAAGTCTTCAAGAATTGCCCAGGGCAAGAGAGAGAGAAGCAACACGCTTCTGGGTTCTGATTTATGAGCACTGAATTATTGGTAGGAGGGCCCAGAAGGAGTCGTTTACAACAGAAATTATTGCAGGCAAATGTTGGTTGGTATTTTAAATCACTCACTAATATTGATAGGTTAATGCCTGTCACACTTGCTTAAGGGTCATGGAGGAAAAAAAAAACTTTTTCTTCAACTTGTTCCCGGCTAAGTATAATGATAGATACACCTTTTGGGGTTTTTTTCCTCGAGCACAGCCTGCTGTATTATTTACGGTTTTCTGAGCCACTGGCTGTAGCCTGTATCTGGATTTTAAAAGGCTGATTTGCAAAAAAACAAAAACAGAACACCCGTCTAGTGAGGCTGGTGGGAACGCAGTCGCTGCTCACAGCGGCCCCTCCGAGGACCCTGGGCTGCACAGCGGCTGAGGCGGCTGGGGCGCCTCGGGCGGCCAGGTCCAGATGGCGAGGGCGTATTGTTCCCTTTTTGGTGATAGTCCTGCTGTGGCAAATAAAGTTAAATCAAAAGGTTAGTGCTCTGCAAGAGGGTGGTGGAGCTGGCTGCAGCTGACAAGGGCCAAGGATGCCGAGCAGCGAGGACGCAGCGGCTGTTTCCTCAGAACCCGAAGGAAAGGCCTTGGCTGCACAAATGAAGAGAGAGGAGAGTCATGGGTCTCAGGGTCCTTTCCTTTGTGAGGCCTGAGAAGTAGCCAAAAGATACAACCTTGGTCCAACCAGGCCCAGGGAGGTGCAGCCCCTCTCCGAGAGTCTGAGGTCAGAAGAGCTACCCCTGTCTTGCCCCAACAAACTGTACATTACTTTGGGGGCGATTTGGTGGTACTGGGGGGGGGGGGGGCGGAAGCACGGTTTGGGAAGGTCAAATGGTCATCCCCTGTCATGAGTGGAACAAAACTGTGGAATCCAGGTGGGCAGCGCAGGCCACTTCCAATGGGCGCGCAACGCTTTATAACTCTGACACAGAATTCACGGATTATTTCATAGAGGGTCAGAGCTGGAAAGGATTTAAGGGACTACGGAAACCTCCCCCGAGCCTGCACCCCACCTCTTCGCTCTCTCTTTACAGACACACAAAACGGAGGCTGCAGGGGAAAAGTGATTTGCTCAAGGCGCAAGGTCACGCAACAAGGAGGTGGAGCCAGGACCAAGGGCCGCCTACTGCTGCAAACCACCTAGGGGCGCACTAAAAGGAGGCCGGCAGGGCAGGGGGGTGAAGTGTGCCAAGGATGCGCAAAACCACAGAGTCCACGTAGCATGCGAGTTTGAAACAATTGGGAGATGATGTTTTCCGTAAAAATAAACAGATACAATATGCAATAGAATGCAATATTGGTGGTGTTTTTAAAATCACCTTTCTCATAAATGATGTTTGAACTTGCCTTACATTTCAAAATCTGCTACCCTCCCCCCAACTCCAAGGGCGCGAGCTTCGGAGCTTCGTCTCCTCTCTTCCACTGGACTCCGCCCTGCGCTCTGAGGCACATCTTTATGCTCCTTCTCTCCTCGAGTTTTCAAAGCACACCATTTGCCCGCGAGACCTGCAGTTTCCAGGGTCTGGAACACAATTAGGTGGGCTGCAAAGCGTTTGTTATTTACCTGTGAGACCCAGGCCAGCCTTCGGTGCCAACTGGTCTCTCAGGTAAATACCAACTTGGGCAGACTTGGAAAAAAAAAAAAAGGCACACATTGAAATATTTATTTAGGGATTTTAAAATGCTGATTCCATTCTTTTTAGTTAAGTACCTTTCTTTCTCCTTCCCCACCTCAGTGCCCCAAACAGAATATTATTTATGCAACTCAGTGCTTTTGGCGCTGTTCTAATCTAGCCCATATTCACGGCAGAACTTGGTTTCCTAGCACACTGGACTCTGCTTCTGTTAAGCGATACTTTGACTTGCCTTTGAAAATTTACTTAGGAGGAGGTGGTATTTCCAATGATATGTAAAATCATTGATAAGACAAATTTAACATTTTTAAAAAATGCAAGCTATATTTCCATTCAAGCAGATTTAAAAAAAAAAAAAAAAAACTCTCAAACCACTACATTTCCACCCTCAAGTCTGTCTGCTTGGTTAGATTCTTTGACCCCCTTGAAGCCAGTCTAAGGTTTTCACTTCCATGAGGAAACCTACGGGGCTCTGCTCCTTTCCAGAGAACCTGAGGTCTGAGTGTCACATCTCTGTCAATTACTGTTCCAAATAGAAACTGTTTAAGAGATTTTTAAATTCTTGCTAAAAACAAGAACTTCAGAGTCGGAAGAGGCAGGTGAGATCAGTTGTCAAACTCGGAATTTACAGATGAGCTCACAGACACCCAGGTGAGCTGGCGTGCGTCCCAGATGCAGTGGGCAGGACCCACGTCCAGGACTCCTCACCCTGCCCTCCTGTCGGTACCTCCACTGACTTCTTATCACCCCACTCGTGATCTGAGCTACTAGTGACTTCATCCTGCAGGCCGAATTGTCACCAGAAAACAAGAGTAAATATGAGATTTGATCAAAGTCCAGGGCATCCCTTGTACTTACTCTAAGCTGAGATCGCTGCTGGAGAACCATCCTAGTCACCAGAGTGAGCTCCTCCACCCTTATGCCCACTTGGGAAACTCTCTGGTTTGGATATTAGCTAGTGGGTAGAGCCGGACACTAAGATCTTAGTTTGTACTTTTAACATTGTGTGGACTAAACAAACTGAGTTAGAATTTGGTTATGCAACTAAGTATTTTTATGTACACATTTTTAAAAATATTTCTCTGACAATACAGAAATATATTATCAGTAAAGTAAGTAGGACTTGAACTACAAAATATTATGAGCCCCTGCTCGCCTTCTCCTCCCCTCCGCTCTCCACTCCCACCCCAGTCAAAAAAATACAGTTTTCAAAGAACTGCATTTTCCTGCCTGCATTTTGAGGTCCAGGGAGACTTCCCATTTTCCACACTCAGCACTTTGAGGGCCATCGGGGTCAAGGCACCAGTATTCCCAAAAGATCCCTGATAGTTCATCCAGAACAATCACGCTGCCGGCTGCTCCGCCCCTCTTGTTCCTAGAAGAATCAATTTCTCAAAAAGTGTTACCTTTTTGTTGTTGTTGTTTTCTACCAGAAATACAAAGCAAAAAGGTTAATCAGAGAAACCACAAAGTTATAGCAGTTCCAGGCTCAGCTCTAAATCCTATTCCTTAAACACCAGGTGCTCAACTTAGAAAAAATAAAATGAAACTTTCCATCATGGTCGCAGAAGCTTCTGTTATCACAGGAACTACTAGGCTGAACTGAAAATCACATCTTCTGCTCAAGTCTGTGAGCAGGGGCTGCACACGAAAATGAAAGAAACAATGCATGTTTCAAATTTTACAGCAGTTTACACCATGCAAAACTGAGAGGGCCTTAGTGGTTTCATTCTCGATGAAGTACGGTTGGTAGGGAATCAGCGAGGTCTCAGGAAAACAGGCCACAGGCACATAATGTCATGTACGCAAACACAGAAAGCAGTATCAGTCACCACTCCCACCACCTCTTTATGATAAAATTCAGACGCACATTCGTACTGGTTAAATAATGTGACAGGGTTAAATAGATATCCAGGCACTCATAAGTTAAGTAATATGCTTTATAGGTTGTTAATATGCCAATCATAGGCATTGGCTTTATTAAATGAAGTATTTGAAATATAGAGTCTGCTTTTTATTTCATTTTTTAAAATCGTGCTATTTTATATAAACAAGATATATAAATTGTTACATATTTTTATATAAACAAGATTCTAAGATTCTTTCATCTTTTCTTGCCTAACCCAAAACTGCAGGATTATGTTAAATGAATAGAGCTTTTATATTTCCAAGCAACACTTAAAAAAAAAAGTTTTCTTTTCATTTCTACAGTAACTCAAACTTATCCTGAGTTGTAAAAATTGGCATTGTGCACACAATTACTGAGGAGAATTAGTAAGCAGAAATCATCATAGAATCTGAAAATTCTGTTTAAGCAGAGATGGTGACTGGTGATTTCAGATCTGAATTTGCACAGCTGCCAAAGGAAAGTTAAAAATTACATCTAAAGGACGAACAGCTGTGGTCAAAATTATGCTGCAATGTTAATCTTTATGAGGTTCTTTGATAGGATTCAAACCAATGCCAAAACTTCCACAATGATTCCTCCCACAGAACGAGTCAGAGGGACCATGCTCTGAGGTTTTGGTTTTCTTTAAAATAAAATAATAATAACTTCAATTACATTAAAACTCTCCTCAGATGAAAATTAAAAATTCAACTCTGTTGCATCATGCTTTTTATGAAGATGAATTAAAATGTCTTCATTGCTTTTAAAGGATGTGGTTAAAATTATTAAATTATTATTGAATCTAGTTCTCAAAACCCACTTGCAGCTTTTTTCCATGTTCTTCCACATGTTATAATGGAGATCCCTAAAATTTTGCCAATTTGGCAAAGGGTCCAGTTGATGGTTATTAAGCAGTACTGGGCTGTTAAGCTTTCTAACTTCCATAATATTCTGTCCTCTACAGAACACAAACCACCATTCGCCATCTTTAGAATCACTCATAATGTTCTGGGCAAAACCTTAGGAAAATGACACAGTCAGAGTTAGCTGCCAAGATACAATATATTTCAACTGAAGACTAATAATATTTGGAAACGATTTCCTGCATTTCTTCTCAACTTATTTGTTAATCTGATAGAGTTTCCAGGGTCTGTAATGTTCATGCCTTTTGGGTTCTACAAAGAGATTAGGGGCTTCCTGAAAAAGAAAATCAACTTACTTTAGCCTGAGTCTCAGTTAATGCTGAAGGTCTTCTAACCCTTCTAAGTAAACATAAGTGTGCATACATTAGCGGCGCTGGCTTTGAAAAAAAAAAAAGAGGAAGAAAAAAAAGGATTGGCCTTTTCCTTGTAAATATGGACTCTTAAGCCTCTAAATGATTTGCCAAACCGAATCGGATAATAAAGGGTTTAAACTTTGCCACTTTGGGGTTAATGTGAAAGGCTTGTCAACATCAGATTGTTTAGACATTAAAAGGAACGCGCTGTGCGCCTCCTTTAAACCCCATGTTCACTCGAGTCGCAGCTCCCAGTGAATTTACCCAGCTGTAAGTGATTCCAGATGCGCGGCAGTGACAAGCTTCAGTCTCAGGGTACTTATTCATTTCACATTAAAATCTCATGTTCCCAGGTCTGAGCTGTTATCTGACTGAGATCTGATTAGGGAATACAGCAAAGAGGCATTTCCAAACCCAGAGCCTGCCCTAGCCCCCTGGCACGGGTCTCTGACCATCAGGCACCTCCGCGCAGGGAGAGGCTCCGCGAGGTGCGCGCACAGGGAGGGGGGGTGGGGCTCAGGTCTAGTCTTTTCATACACATCCCAAATGCCATGGACTTACGCTAGGCTACCTTATTTAATCCTGGACGGAGTAGTAGACATCTCAGCCTGGCTAATTCCTCCACCAAACACAAGCGTTCTCCCCCTTAATTAAAAGGGCAGGGCCTGTGACCGTGCACACTGTCCAGCGCAGCATCCGCTCACAGAAGGGCGCTCAGTCAGTGATGAATGGTTTGCCAGGTCCACGAGCCTCCACTTCTCTCTCTTGCCCTCAGCTATGTTCGGACCACGACAGAAGAAGGAAAGTAGAGGGCAAGGGGAGGAGAAAGAAACAGAAAGGAGGTCGAGGGCATGGAGAAAACAATGAATTCACACAAGATGGTTGTGCCTTTGTTCCGGCGGGAAGGCAATGATGGTCCTTCCTGAGCTCTGGCACGCACAAACTGGGTGCTTCCTTCTGAGTCGGTTTTTACTTCTTTATCCAAAGTGCAGAAGTACAAATGCTATTGGATAGCAGTTTCTTCCATGACATGTGTCAAAGACACATTTTTTGGGCTACAGAAATGTAAGGTGAGTTGGGGAGGGTGCCAAGGATAATGGCATACATGTGGGGAGAAGGCTACCTCTGTGATGCCCACAGAAGGGAACAAAATTAAGGATGATTATTATTTTGTGATTTTCCCCTCTAGCCAGATTTCGAGTTTGGCTTGGGCTTTACTGTTTTGTTTTGTTTTGCCCACCCTGGTGTCACTTTGAAGAGGTAGAGAGCACACGATGAACCCCCAACTGATCGGCTGTGGTCACAGGCTGCTGGGCAGCCCCAGAGCCCGTCAGAAGCTCCTGTCACCGGACTCTCGTCACACTGGAAGCCCCAGAAAACATGCATTGAATACTGTAACCCCCTCCCTATGTGCTCAGTCTCCCCCAGGAGGAACAAGAGAGAATCACTCAAACCCTAGATTCAGAATGGAGAGGATTCAAAAGTGGAGGAAGCCCAGCCGCTGTGGGGGCTTGGGTGGAGGGAGCTAGCCACACGGAAGGAGAGCAGCGGTGCT